TTAAGTTAAGTAGTACTAAAAACTACGTACCGTACGTACGACTTTAAAGTTTAATTACTACTACTATTATTATATACTAGTGTCTGATATAATACTACTACTATATATATATATATATATATATATATATATATATATAATGGTTTGATAGGGGCTGCAGCCCTGTCAAAACAAGTAAAGCCTCACCTCATAACTTATGGAAAATTGCGATTCAAGCATTAGAAAACCTTTAAATCAATCATTTTCGATTAAACATTATGATTGCGAAAAAAAAAAAAAAGGATTTCAAGCTCTACAAATAGTGTATATTGTAACAAATTATCTTTGATCATTCATTTCACCCTAAAAATAAGTGTTCATAGATCTTGCCTCATAGATATGCAATATCTGTATTATTTTTTGAGTTTCAAATTTCATTGTTGGTGTTTGAAATTGATTTTAGAGCCATCATAGAGACTTCCGTTGCCGAAAGTTCTTTATGGGCGAGGATTTGAGGTGAGGCTTTATTTTGTTTTCATAGAGCCAAGGCATTTTGGGATTACTCCTCCTTTTTTAAGGCATTTTCATTCCGCTCCACTACTCTAGCATGTTCGCTTGAACTCGCCTGAGTTACTTGGATTGGGTGGGGGCTGAATCCCTAGCCTGAGCCTAGTTTCATTTGTACTCGAATCACTTCATTCCTACTGGGTGTGTACCATTCTCAATCTTTTCTACCAACAAAGTGCATGCTTCTTAGTTAACTCTTCTAAAGAAAAACAAAATGCATGCTTCTTTTCAGATCAATTTTTAGTCTAATATGGTTGGTTTATATCTTGTCATCTTGTGTGAATTAATTACTAGTTTATAATTACACCATCTAGTAAAAATTCACTATAAAAGTGGGTCTGACTCTAAGACTTGATGTCAGAAATGTAATGTAGCCTATGTAGGAATTCAATTTTCTGATATATTATCTTGAATAATGTGTATCCTGTGTTGTACAAATAGTTATTTATTATGTGATAAATTTTGGAGAAATGTTCCAGAGTTTTGGTAAGACCTTTGAACTGTACCTTATCCTATTATGATCTTCCAAGAGATCAGTGCTTTGACCATAGTTACTAAAACACCTATTGAGTTTGATGAAAGCTGTAGTCGGAAATGTGAAGTAGAGAACTTCCCTCTGATTATACCAAGGAATTGAGAAGGGATATGATAGTATCTTTTCTTCCTAAGTACAAGGACTAAAAAGAAATTAGTAGTGGGAATGCTCACTAAAGTATTGCTTTATAAGCTTCGGCCCATGTTGCCATTTCCATTGCTGTTTCTTTGCGGTCTGTAATTAGATGACCTTTTTCAACTGTAGCTACAGCTTCTATTCCCATGCTTACTCAATCAAATTAAAAATATGATTTCAATGGTCCCATTGAATCATGGTGCATGTTTTTGTGTGCATCCACGCACACAGATTATATTGGCATGACCTAGTTTTTTCTTCTTTTGAGTGGTATATAGTCTAGGGAACCCAGTATGGGAGTGGGTGCAGGATTGTGGCGAAGGGACAAATTTGCCTCAGAAGTGACCCGGGAATCAAAAAGGAATGTTATATGTGGGACTAGAATGCTTGACAATCATATGGTTTGTGAATATGTGGAGTTGGGGTGTTTGGATTCGTGTGAATATGTTGTGGTTTTGTTTTTTTTTTTTTAGGGTTTTGGGGGGGTAAGGGGGTTGGGTGGGGGAGGGTGTGTGTGTGTGTGTGTGTGTGAG